GCTCTGAACCCGACGTTGAAGGCCCCCCAGAAGTTGACGTAGAAGTCAGCTCTGAACCCGACGTTGAAGGCCCCCCAGAAGTTGACGTAGAAGTCGGTTCTGAACCCGACGTTGAAGACCCCCCAGAAGTTGACGTAGAAGTCGGCTCTGAACCCGAAGTTGAAGACCCCCGTGAAGTTGACGTCGAAGACAGGCCTGAACCCGACAACGTGGGTTCGGTGGGACCTGCAGGAGACGGACGGCCCTTCACCATCGGGATGGTTTTGATATACTCTTGCATGCTAATCTGCATCCCATGACCATCCCCATCTTGTCGTTCCCAACGGCCACAGAATTTCTGCCATCCATCCGTGGCTTTCCGCATCTTGCCAAACTTGAGCCGTTGGTGTAGGAGGTCCCAAAGCACTGCGCTGGTGGAGTCTCCCGCGTAGCGCGTGTCGTCCACATGTATAGAGGCCATTGCCCTCAAACTGCCATCCGCGTGGAAGGCCCGAAACAGTCCTGGCACCAAAGTGAGCTCGCCCAGGCCAATGTCCTCGATGGTGTCCTTGTACTCCAAGTACCACAGCCGTGGGCTCTCAGGGAGGCCGAAGCCGGCCTTCGTCAATTCCACCACATCATCACGTAGATCACCCCCGCCCAGGCCTTCCACCAAGTAGTCCAACACCTCTTGAGGATAGCCATGGGGAACTCGAACAAACACCTTCTCAGCCCTTGGAAGATCCTTCCCTTGGAGAAAGGCCGAGGAGACATCCTCGTAGTGCACGGTCCAGCCCAACTGCACCGCCACGAAGTTCAGGAGGTTGTGCGCCAAGGTACTCGCCGTCGGCGCGCTCGTAGCATAGAGGCCGGCGTCCGGATCCTTGTGTCCACCGAAGATCCATCTCGCCTTGAGCTCCGCCGCCGAGAGCTCCTCCTCACCCTTGTTGGTGAGTACAAAGCGCGACGACAACACCCGTTTTGGGTCGAGCACCTTGCCGGTCGGAACGCCACGGATCCCGTTGTGCTCCAGGTACACGCCCACCGCCTTCTTGAGTGCCGGCACAAAAGCGGCCTTCCAACTGTCATCGAGGTCCTTCCACCGGTACTCGATCCGAGCCTTCCCAGTCTTCACCTCGGTGACACCTTCTTCCAAGGCCCCCTCCTCCTCGTGCTGCATACGAACCGAGACTTCCTGCAGACCAGCGACGCCGGCACTCTTGGACGGGGCACTCCACAGTGTCCAGTGACCCAGTGTGTCACTCAGCAGTGCCTCATACTCGCCTGGGCGCAGCCATCGGCCCACATCCACGTCATCTTCCACCAGCATCACCCCGCTGGCATGTCGGCCAGCTTCTGCACGAGTGCCCGCCTTGCCGCCGCCACGTGTGCGGCCCCCTGGCTTGGGCTTCAAGGCCTTCTTCACTTCCTTGAACTTGCTGTAGATGCTGGTCAGGTGGTCCCTGATTTGCGCCTCTTCCAGGACACTCGGAGGCTCCAGACTCTGAGCCAGCTTCTCGAAGACCTTCTGCTTCTTGGCGAAGTCCCATGCATGCGGGTCGTCCAGCGCCGCCTGCTCGGACTTTCGGCGATCCGCCCAGTTTCGCATGGCCATCGGGACATCGTCTAAAAGCTTGGCCCGGCGCTCTTGCTCCTCCGCCTGCGGATCCGCCGAGGGCCGTGCCGCTTCCCCACCATCCGTATCCGACGTATCCGAAGAGGAAGAGGAATCTCCGGCTCCGGTCGGCTTGCCTTGACGAGGGGGTGCTGCATCTTTCGGCGGTTCGTCCCCGGCATCGACAAGCATCTGGCCACCCTGCAACTCAGTCTCCACCTCCTTCAGCGCCTCGTTGACAAACTGGGCGCTTGCGACCTCGTCCAAAGTTGCCAGCCGGATCTTCTCCAGGGGGAACGCCTTGACCCTGCCCCGCAGCCTCACCCAGACCCGTTGAGGAACTGGCGTGTCCCTCTCCACGCAGACAATCACCCCGGGACCACTCCAGGAAGAGTGATCCTGCAATCGACGGGCTTGCCCCCGACGGCTCACGGGCGGATCATAAACATACACCACCGCCCCTTCTCGGATGCCTTCCAAGGTGGGTGGCCGGGATCGCGAAGTCAGGGCCTTCCGCAGCGCCGTGTGAGCATCCAGCCAGTGAAAGGCCTCAATGGCCCCATGTCGTATCCGATCTGCTCGCTGCAGAGCCTCGTTGGTCTCCATCGCCTGGTTGTACTGGTACCGCATCTGGCCCGTGCTTATCTGCTGCATCAAGGAACCGGGGATGGTGGTGCTCCGGCCCGTCACGGCTTGCATGGGCGACACTCCACCCTTGTTGATCGTCCTGTTCTTCGCCGCAAAAGCGGCCAAGCAAGCCTGCCTCATAGGAACCATCCCCACCAAGCTCATGGCCGTCACCATTCGCATCATCATCAACTTCACAATGGCCCCGTGTC